GGTTCATTCTCAAGCAGTGAGTTTGCTTATGTCATAACTTGAAGCATGTATGTTACAGATATGGCTTTTCCTATTCTGTTTCGTGTATTCAGGGCTCATGAAATATGTCCCTCATCTGAATTATGGCTTCTCCTACTGCGAAGGATACTTCTGGATATTTGGGCTCGATAGCACCAAAGGATATATGTTGATATGCGTTTTGTTCGGAAACTATGCTGCTACACTTAGCGTCAGCTATATGTTCCGTTTATACATACTGGTAGACCATACACATATCCTCCGGGTTAGTTACCACTTCAAGCTGCCAACCCACTTTGAGCTACCAACCGATCATGTTGTAGATTCCTTATTTTCTTCCCACTGTATTTGTTTTACTTATGTTTCTATACGGTGTCGTACCATCGGTGTTGTACTACTTTGGATGTTCCGAGTTTGATCCAAAAGCCCTACCATTCAATGTGAGTGTTCAAATGTTTTGATGTCATGCTCTCTCAGTTGACTGAGGAACAGCTGGATTATCTGTACTCCAAGTCAGTTGCAGCATATCGACTTAGAAGTTTTCGGGAATATGTTTTTCCCATATACTTTGCTACTGCTGCTTGTTCCGCTACAGTGGTAAGTTGAATCTTGTTCCTGTGACCTCTTGATTCGAATGTCTGATTCCTCGTTTTCAGGCATACGTAATTATTATTTACATCATAGTTTATCATATCAAGAAAAAACAGAGTTTGTCTGTTGTAGCGACCAAACATCATCTTAGAGCATTGAGAATTCTCACAACACAAGTAACTCATTTAGAATTCATTTCTATTTCGAGTTTACAGGCGGTCAGTCTGATTTTCGTTACGTGCTTCGCCCCTGTTTCGGTTCTGCTGACACTGTTTGTAGATATTGATTCATGTATCTTCAGATTGAAAATAATCAGGATATTGAGCTTTTTTCAGATTTCATCACAACTTCTATGACTGTTCTAGGGAGTAGCTCGATGGTGAATTCACTTCTAACCATCTATTTGAACCCAACTTTCAAGCAGACGCTGCTTGGTT